CATTTACCCACGCCTTGTGAGTTCGTTTAGAAAGTGATCAGTGTTTCAGGATCATTCCATCATTCGTCAAATTACGGGATCTAGGCGCCTGCGAAAGTCGGGGTAGGCCACCCCGCGGTACACGCGTGCACTGAAGGCGATATGTTGCCTACCTACCAGGCGCCATGAGACCTCTTGCATTGGCTGACATTGGCACTTTCGTAACGGCAGATGACGGACGTGCCTTTCGGCAACCCTACCCCTATTACGATAAGGGGGATAATTTAAGCCAATGGACGAGTTTATTGTTCATTCCTTAACAAAGAAATTTATTTATTTTTGTCTTTTTGTTCTACGTCTCCCTTGTTTGTTTTTTTTTCTCCCGTGCAGTTTGGCGCCATGCACTCCCACCCCGGCCGGCGGGGGTCTGCATGCCCGCCGGGAGGACTTAGGCCCCGAGACCTGGAGACGTGCTGGAGAACCCCGCCGGCCGCTGCCGCGCGCTGCCGCCGCTGGAGTAGGCGCGGCGGCGGGGGGCGGGGGGCGGCCAGGTGGAGGTGGCAGTCGGCGGCCGGGCCTGGGCCGGTGGAGCGCTGGAGGGGGGCAGGAGGAGGGGATGTAGGTCGCATATAAAAGCCGGCGATAGCCGCGGTCGCAGTTCCACACGACGAGTGAGCGCGTCAAGATGGCGTGGGGAAGGCGTCTTGTTGTGGGCTTAGCGCTCCTCGGGCTGGTAGCGGCAGTCTCCGCCCTCCAACAAAGAGGTGAGTCCATACAGGTGGACAGTGAAGCCGGCGGCAAGAGCCCAGGAAAAGTGCGTGCGTCCGTGCGTGTGTTTGTGTGTGCGAGTGTGTGTGCGTGCGTGTGTGTGTGTGTGTGTGTGTGTGTGTGTGTGTGTGTGTGTGTCGTATAGTGTAGTGAAGGTAGTGAATGACCGCAGTGAACACCATTTGGATTTTATTACCAACGCAACCCCCAGCTCTTGGATTATCTTTGGATATTTTGGATATTGGATGTTGGATATTCGCCCCGACGCGGAGCGTGCTTGGGTGTCACCATGATGTCGCTCGGCAAAGTGATTGCGGTGATGAGAAAAACCTCCTGCGGATTGTCCATGAGTGCGCCGAGCCTCGCGCGAGGGACCGGAGATGTGTGTGTGCACATGTGTATGTGAGATTTGGGGGAAGGGGAGGGGGGATTTACCCCCTCCCCTCTTTTTCCCCCAATCACTGTACATCCGCCTTTTGACGGATGTAAAGCGGTCATATGCAACTGGGGCGTCTACTTTAAATGAAACATTTATCATAATCCCTTTGTCGTGTTGCTCTCCCGATTATCAGCTTTTTTATTTTTCTTAATCGGTTCAAATTTATTACTCATAGGTTTATCACAATAAAAACAGAGGGTCGCTTTTGCCTGAATCCCGCAAGTGTGTAAACTACAAGTTCGCATTTACCCACGCCTTGTGAGTTCGTTTAGAAAGTGATCAGTGTTTCAGGATCATTCCATCATTCGTCAAATTACGGGATCTAGGCGCCTGCGAA